GAACGCCCCGAGCGTGCAGCGATGCGCTGTCCGCGCACGGCGATAGCCCGAAGCCTGCGCTACACCAAACGCGAGAATCCGCAGCCTCATCCGTGTGAACACGTCTACTGACTCCCATTTGTGCCCTGAACCAGTGAGATTCTTCCCCTCGCCGGCTTTCATGTTTTAAGGGCGCTCTCCACCTACGGCCTCGGTGGAAAAGGCACACGCACAACTCCATCCCGGGTAAGCTGCCTTCATACAAACCCTTCCCCTCCCATAATCCTACAGCTAATTCCACCGTATCAGCAGGATTCTTGCTTCCTTGCTGTCTGTTGTCAGAGACAAGCACCCAGCCCAGGAGCACCGGCTCCGGGGGAGGGAAGCACAGCGCCGCGGGACGTGGTGCGTGTGCCGTGAACCCTGCCGACGGCGGCGGGAGGCAGGCACCGCCAGGCAGGAATACATCGAGGAGAAAGTGGTTGCCGGAGCCTCTGAAATCTGGCTGGTAGCTGAGCGCCCGAGGCAAACACCTAGTTAAAACCTAATTTATTAACAGAGGCAAATCAGGCAGTTTGAGAACTTGGTTGTTGCCGACCGCAAGGCCGGGAAGGGAGACAGGAGGTAACCCCTGAGAAAAGAGGGGAGCCAGATAGGAGAGCAGCCGGATAAAAAGCAGTACAGCAGGTTTCCCCGTGCTGCTATCCTGACATCCCTCAGGAGGCAGCAGAGCTGGTACGCTCACCGCGACGCCCTGCCAAAGCGAATCACGGACGGAAACCTCTCCTCAGGATCGCGTCTTTTTCACCGAGTCCTGACAGCTGACTTGGTCCCAGGCTAAAATGAATTAATTATGAGAACTCCATTTCTAGTCGGGCAGGAACGAGGGGACTTTTTCCCAACAGAAATATTTAATGACTTTCTGGGAAATGCATTCCTCCAGCACGGCTGAACGCAGGGGCAGAGGTTTGATCTTCCGAACACCCAGAAGAGGGGGGCGAGCAACGCTTTACAAAGGCGTTTAGCGGCGCAGAATGAACGATTTTCCCCCCTCACCTGTCAAACTAAGGAGAAGGTGGGAAGAGGAGGGATTGCTCCGATTTCCGTGAGAAAAACTGCTTTTCTGGACTCTCCCTACTGCGCGCCCAGGAGCGGGACCTTAGCCATTCCCAGCGGTGGAGATGCTGTTAGCGCTCCCAGGAAGCACATTCTTGTCTGTCTGCCTGTGTAAACAGATCAGTCTCTTGCCAAACCCGCAATTATAAAGGAATTTTTAAATGAGGGCAGGCACAGATTTTGCTCAAGGTGCAGCACTACCGGCAAAGCTTAAAACCTCCTGTTTCCCTGCTGGGATGCTCCAGCTCCCTCGGCACTGACAAGTCCTCCATAGGCTCCCTCCTTCCCGGAAAGGCCCTCACTGCCATGCACTCCCGCACCCATGCCTCGCCCCCAGGGACGAGCATCTGCCCGGGGCCGACCCAAGGCAGGCCTCGCTCCAACCCACTGTAACTGGAAAGCTGTCGTTTCGCTTTGCTCCCTAAAGAAGAGGTTTCTACCGCTGCAAGCCCTCAGAGGGTTTTTTTTTGAGGTACATAAGGCAAAACCACTGGCATAAGAGTCCAGCTGCACAGGATACGTGGGATGCAGGACTGGGGTGCTTCAAAATGCCCATGGCCGAGGCAGCGCGACGGCGGTCCCCGGGGACTAGCACCCCTGCTGCCCTTCCCACACTGGACTGGTTGTCCTGTCTCCCAAGGACTTGGAGCACCGTTTGTTTGAGGATGGCAAAAGCACGTGGTCCAGCGTTCGGAAGGCAAGAGCCTTCTATGCTCTTCCCACTGGAATTACGGCTGGAGATGCAAACAGTCACAAAATGCTCCCGGAACAGTGAACCACCCGAACATGGTGGCACTCAGACATCTTCCCTGATGTTTCCAATCAAAGCAAAAATAACACTTTTCCTGTTCTGTCCTGTTTATGGTCACCTATTGCCTGAATTTCCTTCTCGGTTTCACTTGCAGCGTGAGACGCTGCTCACCCCCCTGAACAGAAAGCTCTTCCTTGCTTCCTGCTCCAGTAGGTCACTCCGGTTCATCCCATAAGGACGGGACTGCCATGGTGTGTAAAGTGATGCCAATCGGTTGGTTGGCTGTCGGCTTTAAAATATCAAAGAGAACTTCAGGATGAATGGTGGCGTTAAAAAAGCCGAAATAGAGCAGAGGGTACCCTCTCCCAAGGCTGCTGATCCCATGATCAGCAATAAAATCTTACTTCATCCCTGTAGTCCTCGAATGCACCAACACCGAACCGCTACACCTCAGGAAAAAATAAAACTACCGTTTGTTTACAGAAACAACTTTCAGGTTTCTTTTTGGTCATAAAAAGTGACCTTTTGAC